TCAGCGTCATCATCAGCATCATTGTCTCCGCCTCCAAGGCCAATAGATGAGATATCAATATTTGCACCTTCACCATCGCCTACGGATTTCACAAATTGAGCGATCACTTGTGCCCATTTTGCCATAGATCTGATCAGCTCTAACCTTTTTTCACTTGTCATTATCTGTGCACCACTACTCTTGTACTCAGCCAATGTTCTTCCCATCGTCATCAAACTTTCAATCAATTTGCTCGTGTCCGCCTATATCATGAAGCCAAATAACATTTTTAAACAACTTTGTATTATATTTAAAACTATGTATGATGAGAATGGTTTAGAATTATAGAATATAAACTATTAATTACCGATGATCCTCCTTTGATGCCCAATGCAGAGATAGCCTTGTAGAGTTCCTCAGATTGTTCTTTCAACTTAGACTGGAAATCTGAGGAGGAACCCGATGCCGAGTTTATGAAGGCCATGAAAGCCTTTAGTTTTGCGAAGAATTCCTTGTACTCCTTTTTCAAAGGACATTTACTCTCAAGGTTATCCAAAAAAGTAAGCATAACGTTGAAAGCAAAAGGTTCAAACTCGTTGGACGATTTAGGAAGTTTCTTCAAAAAATGCCTTAATAAAATACCACCTTGCGCTTCGTATACGGTACTTGTTGCTACTATCATGAACATTAGACATATTGCTAAACGAAATCTTGCCATTTTGTCAGATGGAACCAAACAAAAAAAAAAAGATTCAAGTGATTTTTTTTATTTTTATTTTTTTATATAATTTAGTTTTTTTTGGGGGGTTTTTTGAATGGTGTTATTTTCTAAGAGAACTCGTTTTATATAGATGATTTAAAATTCTAAATTTGATTAAGAGAAATTGGTGGATCCATCCAAGGTCGCGAGATAATAGCAAAAAGGACTAATGGTTCTCATGTTCCATAACCGATTAGGACGCCAATTTGTGTTCCTCTTTGTGGTTTCTATCTTTCTTTCTTTTTTTGAGAATAAATCACCTCCATCTAAATTATAACATTAATATTAGTTTATCCTTTTATGCTTTGTAGAAAATAGAAATATTAGAATCCTTTTATTCCCTCTTACATTTTTTTTTGTTAACAACATACGACATATGCATGTAAAGCTGATTGATTATACAATAACGACACGTATTTAATAAATAACCCTTATAAACTACTAATTGAGTCCTTCGGAAAGTAAACTATTTTTTTTAATAAGTTTTGTTTTATAAATAAAACTCCATATCCTCTATTTATTATTTCACGATTAAATAAGAATATAGAAATATTTACATTTTGTCATCATTTATTATTGACATTAAACTATTGTATAAATTATTTTCATCATTCTGTCTATTCGTTCCAACTATCAATTATTCTTTATGTTTTTCAAAATAGAAAAAGAAATGTATTGCTTGTTAAGTTAAATGCGTTTGTTTTCTTGAGAATCAATAATCAATATTATAGATTTAAATCCATAATCAATATTAAGATTGTAATAGATTTCAATTATTACGAATGATATTGTAGAAAATAATATGAAAACATAACTAATAAAATGATAAATCATATTGAAGTCGAATAAATTGTATCCAACATTGATTATTATTATTATTTTGAGATAATTTTGTCAACATTCCGGAAATCTTATCTTTAATCGTTTGTCATCATACTAAAATGTAAGATCATAATACTAACACTTAAAAATAAAAATTACTTCAATCAAATTTTTCATTTATTTATAAAATAGCATTTGATACTAGTTTTTTTACAAATTTAAAGTAAGATATAGTTCTATTCAAAAAAAAATTTTCTTCTTTTGAAATTCTCAATTTATAAGAAATCTTTTTTATTTGTTTTCTCACTTAAATCACTAGTTAAGAATAAAAAATATTTAATATAGTAACAAGAAGAAAATTATTCAAAATCCCTTTAATGGGTCTCGCTCACATCTCTATGTTGATATAGAGAGGGCGCATACAGTCTATCATTATCGCTTACAAAGTGATTATTTGTATAGGTCGGTCTATAGGTAGACATTGCTGGCCTATGCCGATCTTAGTTTTATTGAAAACCAAAAATAAAAACCTCTACTTAGCTACTAATTTATATCATATTTGGCGGTACTAGTTTGTCTTTCTTGATGACTTGTGGCGTATTAACATAGCTCAACTGGCCTGGGCGTTCATTAAACTCTGGGATTTCATGGAACTCTGGGCGTTCATGGAACCCTTCTGCTGAGACGAAGATGAAGATGAAGAGGACGATGAAGATGAACTTGAAGAAGCAGCAGTCTCCACAAATTGGGTGGTGACTTGTTCCCATCTAGTGATTGTCTGCTTCAGCTCTGTCTTTTGTGTGGACGTCACTGTCTTGCCTTGACTCTGGCTCACGATTTTGCTGTTAATGTCTTGTAATTCTTTGAGAGTCTTCATCACTTGTTCTTGGTAAGTTTCCATGGTGCTCTTCATCTATCACACCACAAAAAGAAAATGATGAGTTTGTTGTAATCAAAGAAATCAAATAAGATGATACATTTTTCTTTCTTTCTTACGCACCTCTTCTGATTTGCTAAACCTTGAACGCACGAAAGCCATTGCTTCAGACAGTTTCCCAGCAGCAGATCTCATTCCAGAAACAAAGTCTTTTGCGTCTGTGGCAGAAAGCCTTGAGGAAGCAGACATGGAAGTCTTCAGTTTGTCGAAGAAGACCTTAAGTTCTGCCTTTCCTGCATACTTCTTCTCGAGGCCCGAGATGAATGACATTACTTCTTTGGAAGTTTCACTCTCCACTTGTTTCGCTGACATGCTGGATGAACTTGCGCTCGAAGATGTACCTTTGCTTTCGCTGCTAGTCTTGGAAGAAGCACTTCCACTACCACTCGCGCTTCCACTACCACTCGCGCTTCCGCTGCCACTTGCACTTCCGCTACCACTTGCGCTCTCGCTACCACTTGCGCTTCCTTTTACAGAGTTTTCACCACTGGCTGAAGTTGAGCCAGAAGGGCTTCCAGTAGGACTCCCACTCGGGCTGCCCGAAGTTGCACCAGTAGCGTCTGAGTATGAATTTACACTTCCAGATTTGCTAGAGCCGGATGCAGAGCTTCCACTTGCGGATTGTTTGGTTTTGTAAGAAGCACTTCCACTTCCGCTACCACTTGCACTTCCGCTACCGCTTGTGCTTCCACTACCACTTGCATTTTCGCTACCACTTGCGCTTCCGCTACCACTTGTGCTTCCTGAGGTTTCATCAGTAGCAGAAGTTGAGCTAGAAGGGCTGCCAGTGGGACTCCCACTCGGGCTGCCTGAACCTCCACCGGTAGTGTCTTTGTAAGTGCTTCCACTTCCGGTATAGGCAGCATTTCCAGAAGAAGAAGAACTTCCGGATCTGGAGGACGTGGCACTTCCGGATGAGGTGCTACCACTTCCAGTGGAAGAGGAATCGCTGTTTCGGCTTCCGGTATTGGCAGATGAAGAATCACTTTCGGTGCTTCCAACAATGGAATTAACATCGACATCAACTCCGTAAGATGCTACATCGATTGACTTTCCTCTCTTCTCGGAGGCTGTCTTCACGAATGTAAGGAGCATTCTAGTCCAACTCACCATAGACTTAACCAACTCTTTCTTTTGCTGAAGTGTCATGATCACTGTACCTTTCCTCTTCTGCTCAATCAAAGTCTTTCCCATTGACAACATGGTAAGCTTAAAATCGGAGCTTACGCTTTGAGCACCAGACAATGCAGACATAGCCTTGGCGAGCAAATCGCATTTCGTTGTCAGCTCGACATCAACGCTTTTAGATGACGCCGAGGCCGAATTGATGTAGGCCATGTAAGACTTGAAAGTTGAGAAGAATTGTTTGAACTCTCTTGTCGCGGGACACCCACCTTCAAGGTTGCCCACCAACAACATCATACCCTTGTACGCATAAGGTGTAAAGTCTACGCACCGTCTTGGAAATAGTTTCCTCTTAAGGTACATCTTTAACAAGAACGACCCTTGCGCCTCATAGATTACACTTGATGCTACTAGAAACATCAGACAGATGGCTAGTATGTTTTTTGCCATTTTTTAATTAGAGGGGGAAAAAAGAACAGGGTAAGAATATTATTTCTTTTTCTTTTTTTTCTATATTTTTCTATATTTTTTGTTTTTGTTTTTTGAAGTTTTGGATGATTGAAGTTTCTAAAAGAACTGGGATTTATATAGATGCTTTAAAAAAAACTATTTTAAGTGAGAAAGAGAAAATTGTGGATTAATTTAAGGTCGCGAGAGAATAGCACATGCAAGAGGTTCTCTCATTTTTCATTTTCCATTTGGACGGCAATTTCGTGTTTCTCTTTAATCTATTTTTGGAAGGATCAAATTAATTCAACTGTGTGCACATAATTATATTAAACCTTTTTTAAGAAAGACAATAGATACTAAACTTTTGGTCATGCTTGTTCGAAGCTTTGACTTTCTTTTTTAAGCTTTGACTTATTCGTCATACCCAACATGCCCTTGTTACCTTTCTGACGAGTAATAATCTGTTTAGGTCACCTTATGGTAGCACGTAACGTGAACTTTGTTATCCCGTATTTTATTGCTCCTACTTGATTAAGTTGTCACTCTCTCATATGAGCACGGGTTGGTCCGAGCATTCAGGATATCGAAACCCCTGTATAGGGATAGTGGATCTAGAATCCATTGGAACAAAATATTGAAATATAAAATAAAACATAAGAAATTAAATTTGACAACAGCACGTTGTAACTTTAATTAGGCTCATTCATAGTTTAGAGTATTCTCAGTATTGTTTCGTTCACCATGTTCGAAAAACTCTTTTCATAACTCTAAAGCAAACTATTTTCAGAATTGATCTCAAATATAGCTGCGCACAATACGTTCATTGCAAGGAATGAAATAAACATCTTTCAACTATTTTTGTTGTTTACACCATCAAATGAGAAAGATGTCGAAGATTTAATCATGTAAAAGTATATAGTATTTTTTTGTAAAGTATTGTACTTTTTATGAACTTACATCAATCAGAATTTTTTTTAAAAAACAACTTTAAATTTCTACAATTATAATAAACCATGTTAAGAATTATTTTTAATCTAAAAAATCAAATGAGCAATAAAAAATATGTTAAAGACTATTTTCTTACACTGTTACGTCATTCATATTGTTTTTTTTTTTTTGAACAATTTTTATCCATATTGTTTTGATACGTAAACTAATTCATCCTTCAATTATAACCAGTTTAAACGTTATTGAGAATCAAGAAGATATCGTCAATAATTGTGATTACCTTTATTTTTAGGAGTGTATAACTAGCAGCTATACACATACCATTCACAATTATCTGTTACTCCGCTAGTCACAGATAAAGAGTAAAGGGTTCGGAAAGAGGCAATGGTCTTAAATTATTTTTGCACGTACTTGATCATCTAAATGTGAATCGTAAGATAAGCAACTGGTTACACTATTATTTACAGAACTAGATGGATGGTTTGTGAAAGCTTCTTGGCGTCAAATTAAAGGGTTTCAGGGTTTATACACTAAGTCGGGTATAGGATTCTCAGAAAATGCAGATTTTGCAGATTGATGGATGCAAAACTTATTGAAAGTTTTAGAGTGCTGCATGTATAACTATTATTGTAATCACGTGTGTTATAAAGAGATTTTTTTTTTTTTGTTATAATGAGAATTTGTTCAGTGTGGATCCATGTGTTACGAAAAAATTTGCATCCTAAGTCGTTGTTCCTGATGATGATATAACCTTGTTAAAAATGCTTTGCTGGATGATCATCAGATCATAAAGATGGATAAAAATTGTTGAAAAAAATTTATACATACTCAATTTAAAAGTTAATTACAATATAATTTGATAAGTAGTTAGATGGGATGACAACATTTTGGAGACAAAGTAAATAATGATGCGCGATATCTATATTTTTTTTATAACGATTTTGCCATTTATTTAACTGTTACGGAAAACGTATTTTTTCTGTAACATGTTATATATTGTTTTATGTGAACGTCTAATTTATAAAATAAAAGTTATGAACTAAGATTTCATATTTAGGGGTATAGCTTTGCTATGGGCCATAAACTGGACAACTACATAAAAGAAAACATATTATGAATATAATAACATGTTAATTACGAGAAAAAAATATTATATATGTTAAATGCATAGCAAACTTGGGTTAAAACATTATTTTTACACTACATGAAAGCAAGCAATATGTCACATCATTATCATTTGCATAATTTTCATAATTTTTTTGCATTTCACTCTAATTTGATCCGTCTAAATATAGATTGAAGAGAAATGCGGACGAACCAAAAAACTGCCGGCAAAATAGAGCAATGAAAAAATGAGAGAACATCCTATGCTATTCCCTCGCGACCTTAAAACAATTCCACCATTTTCTCACACTCACTTAAATTTAGACATCTTAAGCATCTATATAAACACTACTTCTCCCAGAAACTAAAATCATCAAAAACAAAAGGAAAAAAAAAACAAAAATAACATATAAAAAAAGGAAAAAAAAAGAAAAAATAGTTTACTCTGTTTTTTTTTCTCTTATAAAAAATGGCAAGAATTTCACTAGGGATATGTCTGATGATGTTAGTAGTAGCATCAAGTGTGATTTATGAAGCGCAGGGGTCGTTCTTGTTAAAGCACTACTTGAGTAAGAATTTTCCAAGAAACTGCAACGAATTTACGCCTTACGCAAAAACGGGTATGTTAACATTCGTGACCAACCTGGAAAGTAGCTGTCCTGCGACTGCAGAGTTCAAAGAGTTCTTTGCAAAGTTCAAGGCTTACATGAACTTCATCGCAACGGCACCGGCCACGTCAAAAAACATTGACGTGGAGATAACAACACAATGTGAAGGGCTCTTCAAAGCTATGTCTGCATTGAGTGGTGCTGCCGCCGGAAAATCTGTAAGTCCTACACCTTAATAATATTCATTTTTATTCATATGTTGGCCAAAAAAAAAAAATTGTATATTTTAATGTAAATTGTTTCTTGATTTGCAACAGGGGGATGCAGAGAGTTTCAAAGTTACCATGATTTCTATGGGAAAGACTTTGATGGAGCAGAAGAAGAATGCAATGATGATGACACTTGCTCAAAAGAAAAGACTGGTCATGTCTATGGTTAGGTGGACTAAAATGATCGCTACATTCGTGAAGACGGCCTCTGAGAAGAAAGGAAAGACCATCGATCTCAAATCTTACGAGCTTGACGTCGATGTTAATGACAAATCTATCCTAGGTGCAAGTGCAAGTGCAAGTGGAAGCACCGAAACTAAAGCTGGAGCTGCTTCCGGTGGAAGCACCGAAAAGAGTTCATCGTCAACCAAGACAGGAAGTTCTGCTAGCACCAAAACAGGAAGCGGAAGCACTTACAAAGACACTACTGGTGGTTATTCGGCCAGTCCAAGTGGAAGTCCCACTAGCAGCCCTTCTGGTTCAGGTAAAACCTTTTCAAAAGCAAGCGCTGGTGCTAGCGGAAGTGCTTCTTCCACCAAGAAAGAATCCTCTACCGGAAGCGCCGGTGATTCTTCCACCAAGAAAGAATCCACCGCCGGAAGCGCCGGTGATTCTTCCACCAAGAAAGAATCCTCCACCGGAAGCGCAAGTTCTTCTTCTTCCACCAAGAAGGAATCCTCCACCGGAAGCGCAAGTTCTTCTTCTTCCACCAAGAAGGAATCCACCACCGGAAGCACATCAGTGAAACAAGTCGAGACTGAGACTTCAAAAGAAGTAATGTCATTCATAATGGAGCTTGAGAAGAAGTACTCAGGAAAGGCAGAACTCAAGGTCTTCTTCGAGTATCTCAAGGCTTCCATGGCTGCCTCCGCAACGATTTCTACCAAAACCGCAAAAGACTATATTGCTTTGACAAGATCAGCCACTGGTAAACTATCCCAAGCAATGGCTACCATGGGTTCTAGGGCGGCTAGCAAATCAGCAAAGGTGAACAAGAAATCTTCTTTGCAAAACTCTCTAAATCTCTGAGTCCTTTTTACTAAGATTAACAAAGTCTTCTCTTTGTGGTGTCATAGATGAAGAGCAACATCGAAACCGCCCAAGAGAAAATGATTAGGACTATCAAGGAACTACAAGATCTCAACAGCAAAATCGTGAGCGAGAAGAAAGTGACAGCGACACAACAATCAGAGCTTAAGCAGACACTCACAAAGTGGGAACAAGTCACAACCCAGTTTGTTGAGACTTGTGCTTCTTCTTCTTCAAGTTCATCTTCATCTTCATCATCTTCATCTTCGTCTCAGAAGAGCAGCGGTTCGTCCCAGGAGAGTAGTGCTTCGTCTCAGCAGGGCAGAGCTAGGATGGTCAAGATCGATTGAGTTCAAAGGCGAAGTTTCACCAATACGCCGAAAAATCTGCAAGAGAGACAAACCAGTTATGCCAAAAATATATAATTAGTAGCTAAGTATTAGATATTTTCTATTGTAAATAAAACTAAGATCGGTCTAGGCAAGCAATGTCTACTTATAGACCGACGTATGCAATTAATAACCCTGTAAAAAAATATATAGACTGTAACCGCTCTGTATGTTAATATACAGAAGTGAGTGAGACCTAATAAAGGAATTTTGAATAATCTTCTTCTCCTTCCACGTAAATATTGTCGACTAATTTGTTCGAGAATATATTCTATACTCCACAATAGCATAATATCTTTTGTAAATATTGTCTAATATCGATAAAGGCAATAGTAGATACTAGATTATGTGCCTTCAGTCATCTTCTTCTTTGTATATATACGTGCCTCACGGCTTGAGATTCAATACACAGAAATTAAGTCTCTAAACCTGTTTTACATGGTATCAGAGCCTACCAGCTATTAAGATTCTCAAAAACGAAACGATGGCTTTGGTAGAATCAAAAGGAGGGTCTGAGATATATATCCTTGTGTATGTGGATGATTTGGTTATTGGAGGAAATGACACTCAAGCTATCTTGGAGTTCAAAGAATATTTGGGCAAATGCTTTCGTATGAAGAATTTGGATTCCCTCAAATATTTCTTAGGGATTGAGGTTGCACGGAATCCTGAAGGTATATTTTTGTGTCAACGGAAGTATGCTCTTGACATAATCACCGAAGCAGTGTGTCTTGGAGCGAAACCTGCTACGTTTCCGATTGAACAACAACATAAACTTGCTTTATCAAAGATATTGTTTCTTAAGGATCCACTGCGTTATCGTCGTTTAATCGGACGACTGATTTATCTCCTTGCTACTCGACCAGACTTAACATATGTGGTGCATATACTCTCTCAGTTTATGCAAGTGCCTCGGGAAACTCATTTGGAGGCCGCTATGCAAGTTGTTCGGTATTTGAAGGGAACACTGGGTCAGGGCATATTGTTGAAATCTGATTGAGATCTCAAACTGCGTGGTTGGTGTGATGCAGATTTCTCTGGTTGTCCTTTAATGAGAAGATCGTTAGGTGCTTGGTTTGTTACCCTTGGGTCATCTCCAATTTTTTGGAAGACAAGGAAACAGAAGGTTGTCGCTCAATCCTCTGCAGAATCAGAGTATCGAAGTATGTCTCTTGCTGTTGGTGAACTATAATGGCTACGTGAAGTTCTTATCGACTTAGGAGTTTCGCAATCACAGCCGATGGAGCTACATTGTGACAGTCAATCGACCTTGCATATTGCTAGAAATCCTGTTTTTCATGAAAGAACGAAATATATCGAACGTGACTGTCATACTGTTTGTGACTATATTCTTGATGGCACAATTGCTACCAAGAAGGTCCATACAAAAGAGCAGCTGGCCGATGTTTTCACCAAAGCGTTGGGTCGGCGTGATTTTGAACGGTTGGTCGTCAAGTTGGGCATTTTCAACCCTCATGCTCTAACTTGAAGGGGGGTGTTCGAGAGTATATTCTATACTCCATAATAGCATAATATCTTTGTAAATATTGTCTAATATCGATAAAGGCAATAGTAGATACTAAGTTACGTGCCTTAAGTCATCTTCCTCTTTATACATATAAGTGCCTCACGGCTTGAGATTCAATACACAGAAATTAAGTCTCTAAACCTGTTTTACATAATTTCTAGAAATTTCATTGTATGCATTCAAAAATATATATATGGGAGGCCAAATTGGAGAATGAAACTTAGCACAAGAATTAAAACTACCCCTTTTCGTATGGTTCACAAATGAAAGCATTTGAAAGGAGCAGTCTTTCTTGTTAAAAAAAAAAAAAAAGTCTCTCTTCTTGTTATTTTTCACATATTTTTCATTCTAATCCATTTTTATCGTCCTTAGACATGTAACACATACGAATAAGAATCATATATATATAAAAAACTTACTACTAGTCAAATTAAAATTTGGTATATATATTTAGATATATGAACATATTGGCTAATCAATAAAACACAATAACCCTTACACAGATGTCATTTGTTTACATGGTGTCATAGCCTAAACCAGAGTGATTCTAGTTTCCATCAAATGCAACATATAATCTAGATCTGAACAGCGGAACCATTTCAGTTCTAGTATCATTACAAAACTATTCAAGACCGACCACAAAGATCAAGCAAAGCCATTGTCCCAAACTATTACGAGCATGAAAAACTTTTTTTGTAGACATGTTAATCGTTGTATATTAGGCTTTTCCAATTTATATTAAGATTTATCTTCGACACAATTGAACTTGGTAGTTTTGTAATCTATGTATAGAGGATCTTATGATGCTGCCATTTATATCCAATGGCTTCATATGAGTTAATGTATAGTTAAACTTTTGGTCTTTTGGACAGTATTTAATCTATCGCTCTCATGTTATCCTATAAACTTTGGTTTTATAAAAAAACAAAAATCGTGTTGACCCAAAACAAAAACAAAAATCGTTTCAAAATATGGGAACTTAATGTTGGCACCGATAATTATTCACATTAAATTTATAATTCATATTCTAATGAGAAAAATGATCCTTTCTATAAATAGAATGATAAGTAAAACACGGAGAGCAACATGCCAACATAGGTGATTCAAAAAAAAAAAAATGTAAAAGACGGAGAGCAACATAATTTCCGTCCAAATAGAAAGCGAAACCTGAGAAAATGTCTTGTGCTATTCTCTCGCGACCTTGAATCGATCCACCATTTTCTCTTATTCACTTAATTTAGACCATTGAAGCATCTTTATAAATTGCGCCTCCAACAAAGTTAAGTAATTGAACTCCAAAACAAACAAAAACAAAAACCAAAAAAAAAAAACATAAAAAGACAAAACAAAACAAAAAAAAAATGGCAAGAACTTCGTCGGTATGTCTATTGTTACTAGTAGCACTAAGTGCGGTCTATGAAGTGCAAGGGACATTTTTATTAAGGCATTACCTAAGGAAAATTCCCAGAAGGTCCGGAGACATTCAGCCATTCGCTTGCCAGGGTATGCTGAAGTTCGTGGACGTTTTGGAGCTTAAGTGCCCATTGAAGCCAGAATACAAGAGCTTCTTCGGAAAGCTAAGGTCTTACATGAGTTTCATAAGCTCGGCGTCCGGGTCAAAAAACTTTGACGCCAACTTGAAAGGCCAAGCTCAGGGCCTCCAGAGTGCTATGTCTGCATTGGGTGGTAAAGGAGCATCATCGGTAAAATTCTATAATATCTTAACCTTTAAAATGTACTACATTCTAACCCCGTGCATCCGCACGAGAATATTTTTTATTGTTTAACAAATTTTGTAATATAATTTGTGTTTTTAAGTTTAGATATAATTATTTTTATAAATATATTTTTTAATAAGTGAAAATATTGATTTTTGTGTTTAGATATATTTTTATAGTATTAAAATTAATTATGATTATAAAATTATAATTTTAACCCGTTCGCTAATATTAATTCAAAATAAACTATTATAAATACATAAATCTAACTTTTCCGTTCATATTACCGTATAATATAAATATTTGTTAAAAGTTTGAGATGTATTAACAGTATTATTTAGCATTATAGTTTTCTAAAATTCAATCAACGAAGAGAGTGTACAACTGGTTTTTCAAACCACATTATAGTGTATGCAATAATTTTTAATTTTTTATGTTTTGATTTTGTATGAAAAAAATATTTTTGATATACATGTATAATTCAAAATTAGTGATTTTAGTTACCAAAATATTTTTAACCTGATTTTTTATATATATTTTTAGTTCTATGAATTTTTAAAAAAATAAATTTTTAATATTTAAATTATACATTTGAAATTTACCTATTATTTTATTATTAATTTTTAAATAATCATAATCGTAAATATATTATATAAGCAACATAAATATCATATCATTAATTTTTCAAAATATTTCAAATATGACCATTATTTTTCAAATATGAATTTTTTTTACATAAATATTTCAAATATATTACATAAATATATTATATAAGCAACATAAATATTTCAAATATAACCATTATTTTTCATATGTGAATTTTTTTTTTCAAAAATTCTATATATTTTTGATAAAAATGTTTAATAGTATAAAAATTATTTAAATTAAAATATTTAAATCAAATCTAAATTAATATCTGATTTATTATTTTTAATCAAATCAAATCAAATCTAAATTACTTATATTTAAGGAACTCTAAAAATATTTAAATTAATAACTAATTTTTGAAATTAAATATAAATAATTATTAAATTATTTTTAAACACTTAAAAAAAATTAGGAGTATTAGGAAGCAAGTACTAAATGTGATTCTATTTTAATATAATAGAATCACGTAAGGTGACAATGATCATGATCATGATAAATGTTTGTTTCTTTTCATTTAAATTGGTGAATCAGGCGGATACCAGCAAGGTACTGGATGTGTTAATGACAATGGGAAGGACTTTGAGCCAGCAAAAGAGTAGCGGTTCAACGGAAATGTCATTTGCACAAAGGAAAGAGTTGATCATAGACATGGTGCAATGGGCACGTACGATCGGTCAATTCGTTGTGGGTGCCGCATCAAAGAGTGGAAGCTCTATTGATATGTCATCCCTAGGAATTGATGGCGTTGATGCCAATGCCGATGCCGCAGCTGGAGGTTCTCCCTCAAGTGGTGTAAGCCCTAGTACCGGAGGAGCTGGAGGCTCTACCGATACTAGCTCTGGAATCGGAGCTACAGGCTCTACCAGTACCAGCTCTGGAACCGGAGCTACAGGTTCTGCTAGCGCTGGTGGAAACTATACCGCTGGTGGGAGTGCTTCATCTAACACCCAGTCTCCCAGCGGTGCAAGTGCACCTACTGGCTCCTCAACCCAAGGAGGAAGCTCTTTTGGTCGCTCCTTTTCAGGTAAAACAGGGTCAGCTAGTTATGAAGGTTCTGTCAACTATCAATCAGGCCAGAAGGCTTCCCAACAATCCACCTCAGGCAGATAATACAGCTCCAAGTACTAGAAAGGCCGACCTAGCTAGAATATAACTAAATGTATTAAATTATTGTTTAAATAAGAAGATGGCCCTGCTAACATATTACAGCAGCGAGCCGTAGAATGTCTGGCTCTTTATATAAGCCTATCTTAAATAATACGAGAACAAATTTTTATTAACATATTTTTTTTGTCAGAATGCCACATCTAGCTTCACGTTTTTTTTTTATCTCATATTTAAATTTTTACGAATTTCAAACTTCAATTTTGAAACCTTCCCAAAACATTAATCCGGGATTCGTTTGATGAGCCATCCTCCTGCCTTTTACACATTCAACGGACGAGGATCGATCTTTTCCCTGCTCATTGATTCGGTCAAGGTTGCTCCCGGTTTCCTCTATTACGTATATATGGTTCGGTTCAACGTTATAAAAATATTAATCCATTGAGATTTTCAAAACTGTTAAGCATTTACAAATTAATCACCATACTCAACCATGGTTAAGTATTTTTCTTTCTGGCACAACACAAACATTTTCGGTACATTTGATTAGAAGCTAAATTGAAATTCAACAGCTGTAATAGTACTTTAACAAATAAACTTCTCCTCTAATATTATTGTCAAACATTAATTAGTATACATCTAGAATGATATTAAACCATTTCATTCAAATTAAGAGATCTATTTGAAAACCATTAAACAATGCCATAAAATTCAGTATATTAAATTATCCCAAGTGGATTAAAATAAGTTTCATATAACAAGGTATAGTGGAGGCCATATTCCTGTCTCAAAACGGCAACACATAACAAGACAGAAGACCAACATTACCATCCATGAAGCCACTAAGTAACCTATTTTAATTTCTTCCTTCCACATTTCCTATTTTTCGGTAGTATTTGCATTTTGTCTTTCATTGATTCATCTTACAGTTAATTTGATGTTTAAGGCGTAACCATTGCCATGAAAGTAATTTTAATCCAATAATTGATTAATAAGAAGTCTAATGAGTCATATTAGTTTGTCGTTGGAAGGTATAAGATATAATATAATGATAAAGACGTGGATCAGTCATCAGTGTTTGTTTAAATTTTATTTCTACTTTCTATTTTAGCTACCAGTTAACCACTTATATACAAGATCGGACATTGAATATTATACAACTTTTGTGGCGTTAAAATATGTTCACATTTAATAGTCGGCTTTGTGCTGAATCAAACTATACATTTTTTTATGTCAGAGGCGAAATTTAGGGGGAGACAGATTGTTGTCGTTTTCGTATATCTGCATAAATACATTTGAAGAGTAGTATGCATTATTCCTGGAATTGAGGCTACGATTTGGACTTACATCTATGTTTGATGAAACCTTCGACAAGATTAGTGGAAATTGATTTTGCTTTGAAAAGTACCAAGTTTCATTTCTATTTGTTACTTAGCTCGTGGCTTTGTGCTGCGTAGATAAAGTGTGCTATTTTGCATCACGGTGACTTATAAACCCGGAATTTTCTTAAGGATATATAACATATAGATACAATAATTAATACAATCCATTATAAATTAAAGCTATCGTAAATTAAATATGATATGGAAAAACTTGGATTAAAAAATCTAGGTTGTTGATTCTACGAATATGCGTTGTAAAACTCTTTCTTGTTTTCTTTTTAGTTTAAATCTCAAAATCAGTAAAGATGACCTAAAACTCTCAAGTCACAACCATAAAAACATGTTTATCAGAAAACTTGAAAAAAAACCAAATTTTCTAAATATCTCAACCATAAAAACATCTTTATCATAGAGAACATTTTTTTTTTGTTTACCTCAAAATCCCACCCGTTATTAAGTATGTATTATGAAAAGAAGTAGTAATGTTATTAATTCAACTACACTATGAAGTAGCACATGCACTTAGAAGTAGTAATGTTATTAATTATGTTCACACGGAACACTTTTTGACATAATTAACCTCCGCCTCCGGAGTTTTTTTTATATCAAACCTCATTTGTTTAAGAAAATCCTAATAAATTCCCCCTTTTTAACACACACAAAAACCGCTTTTTTATCTTTTAATCTGTCAAATCATACATTTGCAATAATTTGGCATATATAGGATTTTTTTTCCGTCATGTTTGAATTGTACATCGACTAGAAAGTTTAACTTTTCAGTTTAAATTTGTGTATTTATAGTGGAAGATAAAAAAAAACTCTGTTAATTATTCCAGATAATGCCAGTAGTCAATCACGAGAATCCTTTGATTAACGGACATTAATATTATGCTCTATATAACCTCACCTGATCAATCTATCTATACAATACAAATAGTTACAAATGCCTATAAACAAACTATTGTTTCTCTTACGGATCTTTATAAATTGTATATATCCTCTATCCTCCACAAATAACTCGTTCTTACACACTGCACATATATTAAAAAAAAACTTAAAAATTATATCAATACGTTCTTATAAAGTATTTAAAAAGTAGATTAAGAAGTGCATCTCAGATATAAAATGAAAATTTTTCTTAAAACAAAAATTTAATTCTATTCTTCAAAAAACTAATTAATTATTGTTAAATATAATATCAATTGATTTCATTCGATTTGAATCAAACTGAGATAATTATTGTAAAAATAAAATCATATATTTACATGGTTTAAATGGGTTTATTTTCTCTATGTCGGATAAAATTAAAATTCAAAATCAACCCGAAACAAAGAAAAAAACTGATATAAAATCAAATTTCTTTAAAATTAATAATTTATTTCAAAACTTTGAATAAGATAAAACCGAATCTGAACCAAACAATCCATGATAAATTATGCACTATTTTTAGCTATTATTATTTATAAATCAAAAATTCTAAAAAATTCAGAAACTCTATTCAAACCGCCACGAATCAAAACTCGGATTGACCATCAAATCATATCTTCAATTTTAAGAAATAAAGTAATAATTAGGATAAAATCTAATATAAATTTAATCAGTAACTATATTTAAAAAAATTTAGTTGAACACGTCTTGTTTATTCTGATCTGAAATAAGAAAAAAAAAGTCAATTGATTCGATTGGTGTCCTAAAATGGTAAGAGTTTTTCGGTGTACAAATGAAAGATAACTATTCTAAAATAATGAAAACCGTAAGAAAATTGTTAAGAGATATTAATGTAAATAGAGAACATGACAAATTTTATGTTGACTGGTAACATTATAGTGATTTAAATGTAAATACTATTAAACATTAAAATATAAGAATGAATGAAACATAATTATTTTAATAGGTTGAAGAAAAATGTAGTTTAGTACTTTACTGTAATAAAATTATATAGATACAAATTATGGTAATTTTAAACAACATATATAATTAAATGATTTTAGTAGAAAGATAGGATGATGAAGAATTTTAGATTAGAATGATAATATATATATATATATATATATATAATTTGATAGATATGTTAAAGTAGATTTATGGAAATCAGTTTAAATATTTCTCTGTATTAGTTAAATTTTCTCTTTATTTTGTTTGATGTTCCAGTTACCTTTTTTCTTTACTTTTATATTATTTTGTTTTGTATTATCCAATTTTCTTAGATATCATTATCTAAAATTCAGTACAAACGGATTATATTTAGATCATTAACATTATAGGTACGGAGTAAATTCAGTACAAGCGGATCAAATGCATCGGTAATGAAATTAAATTTCAAAAAAATTGAAAAAATGCAATGCCGTATTTTCCAGAATTTAGTGTAAAAGTGCAAAATCTTTTTACAAGCAAACAAAAAGAAATTGAATGAAAAAGACATATAATAAACCCCGGTAGATATTTTTCCTAAATAAGAAGTAATCTAAAAAGTTAGTTTTATCTGAAAATGAGCGTGCCATCACGCGCCCTCAAAGGAACGACTGGAAGGAGAAGTCAATAGAAAAGAATTACCAAATAGTGACCACTGAAAAAAAAAAGTTTTTTTTGTTGCTGAAGACTTTTATAAATAATCAAATATCTGAGAGAAATTCTTCAAAATGTTCTAAATTTCCGACATTCTTTCTTCTCCGTCTTCTCTCTCTCTGACTTTTTCGAGAGAGATTTTGTAACCAGACGACGAGGCTGACTTACCAACCAGAAGGAGAAACTCGATGATGATGATGATGATGTCCTTGTGGTCTCTTTGATAAATGATTTGGTTGTGTTCATTTTCCTCCTCTTATTGATTTTTTTTTTTCATTTTTAATCCTGAAAAAATTCGGTTTCCGCTCTTTACTCTTTGAATCCTCTGCTAAACACACACAACAAAAATTCCCTCCTAATCCTCTGTTTATGTCACCTCTGTTTTTCTTCGGATTGATCTAAAATCCAGAGAAGAGTACCAAAAAAAAATCAAATATTGATTACGAATTGTTCTTTGCTCGTTACTCGTAAGGATCTCTCTTTCGTCTTTTTCTCTGGATCGCCTTTTTGTTTCCAGCTATTATTCACAAATCTCGACAAAAGTTCTTTTGATATCTCATCGATTTCACCAAAACCTCTGTCTCCAAATCCAATTTCATTATTCAATTCTCCGTTCCCCAAATCAAAAATCCTTTTTTTTCTCTCTCTCCTTCTCTGTTTTGATTGATCGATTATGGGCTGTGCGAGCTCGAAACAACGTAAGCGTTGCCTCCATTGCCGGAGAGGATATTCTCCGGTGGACATGCGGCGAAGCCAATCGGTGCACCAGCCACCGCAACACGCAGACGACAGCTACCACATGGTGGCTCTCAGTTCCTCGAGCCTCGGATCTCTCAGGCTCTGCGATTCCTCTTTCGGGCATAACCACAAACACTTGGCAGACTTCAGCGAGAAGCTTGTCGCCGACGAATCTGCCGGTAAGCGAATCTCCGGAAATGGGTTTGGTCACAGGGAAGTCAAGGAGAAGCCAGACGATGAGAGATTGAATTTGGAAATGCAGGCTAAGCTTATGGAGGCTAAAGTATGGTCAAGTATGATGAACGAGAAAATCCCCAAGATTGTGCCGAAAACTCCGATCGCGACGCCTCCGGGAGAGCCAGAAACGATCAATACATGGGAAATGATGGATGGGCTTGAAGATGTGATTAGCCCTCTTCGATCACCTAATCACGTAAGGAGCTTCTCGTTCGATGTTTCTCGTAATGGTGATTGTGAACATCCCAAGTCGAAGTTTCAGGAGAATGGTAATGTAAAGCCATTGTGGCTTCAGATGGAGGAAGAAGGGCTTGATTCGAGTTGCAGATTCGAAGATTTTGATCCTAAGATCATTTCTTCCTTTAGGAAATCGCTACAAGAACTCCCTTCTGATCATCCTTTTCACATCTCGATTAAAGATTTGAAATTGAATCCAGGAGAAGAGGAAGAAGAAGAAAAGGAGGAAACTTTGGGTGAATCAAGACAAACTAATGGTAAAGACAAAGTGATTGTCTACTTCACGAGCCTCAGAAGTATAAGGAAGACATATGAAGAAAGCTGCGATGTCCGAGTTATACTAAAAAGCCTCGGGATTCGAGTGGATGAGCGAGATGTATCGATGCATTCAGGTTTCAAAGACGAGCTAAAGGAGCTGCTAGGGGATGAATTCAACAATGGTGTTGGGATTACCTTACCTAGAGTTTTCTTGGGGAGGAAGTATCTCGGTGGAGCAGAGGAGATTCGAAAGTTGAACGAAGATGGGAAGCTCGAGAAGCTTCTAGAAGACTGCGAGAGGGTGGACGAAAACAGAAACGGTAATGGGCATGAATGCGAGGCTTGTGGAGATATAAGGTTTGTGCCTTGTGAGACATGTTCAGGGAGCTGCAAAGTGTACTATGGAGAAGAAGAAGAAGAAGAAGAAGATAGTGAAAGCGTAGTGGAAGAAAGAGAGTATGGGTTTCAAACATGTCCGGATTGTAATGAGAATGGACTCATTAGATGTCCATATTGTTGTGATTAGCTGTGTAAATACACATACACACAAAGGGAACCATTGCTCTTCTTTTTGTTTTGTTTAACTAAATTTTTGTTTTGAGTGCTTGAGGGGTTTCTTTCCTCTAGAGATTTTGATGTACATAAGGAGGTTTTGATTGTGAAAGCAGGTTATATTTCAAGTGTAAAATTGAAATTGGGATGTGGTGTCGTATATTCTTTGTAATTCCATTCCTGCTTTACATTTTTGTTGTACTCACTTATTGAAAAGCAGAGGGAGTTGAGAAAAAAAGTCAGCTGACAAATTATGACCGGAGAAAACAAGAATCCGTCAAACTCTAGTGCTTTTTCTTTTGCCAATATGTCAAACTCTTATGTTATGTTTGAATAATGAGGAGCCATAAAGGCATTCTTGGAAAGAAAAAACAAAAGGTATATTTGTTTACTGTTGTATCTCTAAAATACAATGAACTAAACAAAAGGAGAAACTAAACAATTAACGAATTAAAAGTTTTGAATAGTCAAATAAGTAAGTAATATTTGCCCATGACTTTACTCTCTCTCATATTTTAAATAGAAAATGAAAATACATCGATATCTCTAAAATACAGTGAACTATGAAAACTGAACATATGGCTGTAATATAACTTTGAAAAATTTGTAAATATACCGGTATTGTTTCAAAGTTTCAAATCAACACCATTATTTTTCAATGAATATTTGTTTATATAAACCTGTTCACTACCATACTTTTAACTTTTTCAGACGTTTTTTTGTCACAAATACACAAGTGTCTAGAAAACAAAACAAAATTGTCTTTTGAACGTATGTATTCTTTGTTAGCAAATCAGCCTACGTATTCTTGTCTCTAGATCGATGACAGAGAACCCATAGAACAACCTTCATATATTATATTTTTGAAATTCACAACTAAACATTTTAATAACCTGTATTACATTTTTTCCCTTTGGGGCCTCAAAAACTTTTTTGGACCGGGCCGGGGTGGCTTTTCTTGTAAATAGTGGGGATCTGCTATTATCAGGTTTTCATTCGTCGTAAGATTCGAATTTACTCTATTTATTCAAATTCATTTCTTGTAAGGACTTTTTTTTTGCTTTAATAAGAACCTGGGCTTGAAGCACTCCTGAATCCTGATAATTCTTCATGGGACACTTCTAACGAATCGACGTATTTACGTGGAAGCCCATAAACGGATAAACCAAAGTTTTTCCAAATAGATTATAATTATATATCCACTCATGCCCATTTGCTTGAATATATATAAATGTCATCGTTAAATGTAGGTATATATCACTACTTCGTCAACATCATAGGCATTTGTAGAAATGTAATAAATATTTGAGCCAGTGCTTACCAAAGATATATAATTTAACTTATTTTCTTAAGAACTGGATGAAATATTGATTTTTATGTTGAACTATCAAAATTTAAAGTATTTAAAATAAGAGATGTAAATTTCTCCATTACGAACAAAAATAGTAATACTGGAAATTTTGTTTGGACGAAAATGTAATAATGGATTATTCGCTATTTATTAGTCGTGCATTTTCTTCGATCTTTAACTGACAAGTTCTTTTTTTTTTTTAATAGTGACACAAGACACCACAATGTTCGATGTTTTGTAAGCAGAGATAATAATTAGATTTTACTCATTCAAGTCCTCCCATTTAATATGTAATAAAAGTCACATATTTCGGAGAATCTTATTAGGAATTAATGTAACTACTGGACCATAATTCTGAAATTCGGAAGATAAAAAACGTCTCTTGATAATATAATAAGGACGATCAAGATTACATAGATTAATAAATATATAGGAAGGTTACATGAGTAAGCTTCTAATGACAGCAGCTTCATGGCTATCTTCATCAACGGAGTCGAGGAGCTGCGACAAACGGTCACTGAGATTGTCAACTTCGCTGTGCAGCTTTCTTATGTAGTTGCATGTCTCTTGTAGTACCTTAGATGCTGACACCTAATATTTAATAATTAACATGTATAAAAACATCATCAAGACCATGTATATCTATATAATTATATATACACATACAATGCCATCATTGGTCAAAATAGAAAACAAAAATGTTGTCAGGAGTCAAAAGTCCCGATTTTTTTTGTTTGGTTTGTGTCCCAGCTTCTTTTAACGAAAAGGGAATTTTCTTTTATATATATTGAAGTATATAACTATATAAAGACTTAAATGAAAACGATGTTATGTAAGGATACCTTATCAGAACGGCGTCGTTCGCGAATCTCCGGCAAAAGCTGACGGAGCTTACTAACGAGGTCGATCATCTGGTCATCGGATATCCTCAGAGCACTTGAAGATTGTCTTGATCGTCTGTTAGACATATTATTGAAGCTTCTTTACTTGTTGATTAGTTGTGATACTACAATGTCGCAAGAAAATTACCCTTAAGTTGTGTGCGCTTTCTCTCTATCTCTAGATTGGACACTAGACAAGAGAGGGAGAAGGAGATAAATTTAAGGTTGTCTTAATAAGAGAGTTAAAGAGTGAAAAATCGAGAGAAGCTAGATAGCTAGTAGATATATAGGTTTTATATCTTTGATGTTGAGACTATATTCTGCTGTGAAATAGAAGAGTAACGAAAAGAGAGAAAAATAAAAGAGAGGAAATGTAAGGAAGTGTTTTGGGGTATAAAGACACTTAGAGATATAAAGAAATTGAGAAAGTGATAAGAGGTATTTAAAGAGGTCAAGGACCACAGGAGAGAGAAAGTGAGAAGAGAGCAATAAACCTAGACAATGATATATGGAAGAGAAAGAGGTTTGATAACCATTAACCAAAATATATCGTTTAAACTAATTTATCTAATTCGTTATTTCATCCATATATAGGCTAGATGTTAAATGAATTAGTAATATTCAGTGGTTTTGTTCTATTAGTCAAGATTAGTAATCAATTTGTTTTACTAAGTGACCAATGTATATATCAAAAATACTTTAAATTTACACAACAACAAGTTATATGCAATATTATCGTATAGCTTGTGATATATTTTATTTCTAACAAAATATGTCATAGTTTTGTGAATTGTGATAGGTCATTCTTTTTAAAAAATATGTACCACCAGTTTAGTTAGCCGAACATTTCTAGATAGATTAAGTTGTTGACAAAATATAATATATATATATATATATATATATATTACTTGCAAATTATTTCAGTTTGCATCATGTTTATCACTGTAAAAAATTACATAAAATTTGTATGGAGAGGCGTAATAATTTTTAAAATATCATTTTAATTACTCAATAAAAAATTATATGTACTGATTTGCTATCGTTTGTTAACAAAATATTAAGAAAAGTAGTAAAAGTATTAATTATTGAAACTATTGTATATAATATAAATTATGTTGAATAATGGAGGAGGATTTGGATTTAAAAATGGAGAAGGAGATGAAAAAACACTGTGTGTTCCCAAAGCTGGTGTTGAAGTTGAAGTGGGATTTAAGAGAAGTGTTCCATGTTGAGCTAACAATGTGGCCCTTTATGTGCATGTCACTAAAAGGCAATACCATGTGATGACATTGACTTTCTATTTTCATTTCCATTGCTATTAACTATATCAAACCACTTTGGATTAACATTAAGAACCAGAGAGCTAGTGAATGATCCAGAAAGTTCATAGTTGATCATCTTCAACAGACAAAAATTTGAAAATAAGTTCCATTCAATATTATAAAACTTTGTGTCATGCATGATATGTCAACATAACATATACACACGCAGATTTGAATATCTATTTTGAAATTAAAACTATTTAAACACAATATAAAAAAATCATTTTCAGTGCTGAAGCATTACAATACATCAAAAATAAAATCAAGCGTGGACTTGTTTCGGCCTTACAATTGATTACCCGAAAAAAGTAGTCATGATACGTTCGTCTGCTTCCTAATTTTACTCATATGTTTCGGAAGCTCCAGACTTAGTACACTTGATGCTAAACAGCATACATGTCCCATGTGGTTGCTTAAGATCTCGGATTATGCCTCCTTAGATTCTTAATCATGATTACTACGGGGACACAAGGTACTTAATTACGTCATTTGTGTGTGCATTGTTTACATAACATACAAAAGTGTCATTACTCAATAAATTAGGAAAAACACTACTAATTAATTATTAAAATTTAATCAAATGAACCATGGATTCACATTCCCAACAGAAGGAACTTACAAAGTTAAAACTATGGAGAAGTTTGGTACATGTTAATAGCTCATTGTAATCTTCTAGTTTAAAATTATCCATGGACTTTTGTACTTTTTGAAAAAAAATTAGGATTTTTTTTTTCTTTTTGTGATTCAGAAATTTAAATACAACCACAAATTAATGTAAAGATATTTATTTCAAACAATAGAGAGGTGAACATGTTAATCTCTTATTTCTAAAGTTTTCATATTCTCGCATTTGAATCTATACTATGAGTCTATGACATGGCTTCATGAGAGAAACATGTCAATCAACACTTTCATACTAATTATTTATTTATCTATGGTCCTTCATATGGGGACACCAAAGTATGTGATTGTTAAAGCATTGTTTGCCTAAGCTTCACATCACATTGATTATATTTGTACTAATATGGTTGTTTTTTCCTCTATTTTAATGAAATGCTTTAAGTATCAAACATAATTCAAATTGATTTAAAAATATAGTTATAGATTGATTTTTGAATAGAGAAAACTGATTTTCAATTGTTATATTTATACGCTGATGACTACAATATTAAAATACATAAAGGATATGCTAATACGAAGAATGAGTTAAACAAATGTAGATATTGATATTGTCGACGACCAAATAGTGGGAAATAACAAATTTTAATTATTACTATTTTGTTGACCAAATTTGTTGTATTAGATCGGAGATTAATCCACTAGAGCATACCACCATCCTTAGAAATTAAATGATAAAAATATCCAGATATATGGGAACTTTAACCCTTGTAAAAAGGGAAAAAACCTTAAAAATACCCAACTCGTATAACATTTATTAGAAAAATATCCAAACTTTTTTTACTTTCTTAAAGATACCTGAACTATTAATCATTTCTTTTTAATACACAAACTATTAATCATTCTCTTTTAAATACTCAAACAATTAAATTTGGTAATTTTACAAATCAATAATCTCAAAAACCCAGTTTTACCCTCTATTAGTTCTTAGATTCAATTTATTTTATTAGAAAAACAAAATTATTATATAATTTAAAAACCTGAAAAAAAAATGTTCTCTTTCTAATAACACGAAGAAAAAGTTGATCCAAGTCCGATGACTCTCATATTTCCGGCAAAGAACAGTAACATCAGAATCGTGACTCCAATACTATTAGTGGATCAGATGAGTTCTCTTTCTAATCTCTCCATTTTCTGGTGATTTCCTTGTCGATGGAACTTCTGCAGACTCTAGGAATTCTCGATTCATCTTTTCAGCAAATTTAGATTATCAGAGATGTAAACCAAGATTCCTTCGGTGACACATCTTTCTTTCTTCCTCTCTCACGACAACGACACCTTAGTACGTCATTTCTCTAAAGCAATGAAGATTTAATTCATCAAATTTGACACCAAATTAGATCCTTATTACAATCATCTGAACAGTAATCACGTCGGGTTAGATATCAATAGCTTAAACTCAATCTCGACCTCAAATCCATCGATCTAGCCTCAAATGAATCTAAAATCTGAGAAATCGGCCACTGCTTGGATCGATTACATGATCTTTCTCATTTCTTAAACAGCGAGATGTAGGTAGGGTTTTCTGATTTTGTGTTTTAACAGAAGAAAACACATTGCTTCATCTGGTTGAGAATTTCATTTGCAGAGACATGTTATTAAATTACAGAGAAAATGTCGGAGAAGGAAGATAATTTTATTTTTAGGTTAATAAATTATAATTTGGTTTTCTAATAAAATAAATTGAATCTAACGAGGGTAAAATTGGGTTTATGAAATTATTGTTTTGTAAAATTAGCAAATATAATTGTTTGAGTATTAAAAAGAGAGTGATTAATAGTTTACGTATTTAAAAGAGATGATTAATAGTTCAGGTATTTTTAAGGGAGTCAAAAAAGTTTGGGTATTTTTCTAGTAAATGTTATATAAGTTAGGTATTTTTTAAGTTTTTTTCCCCTTGAAAAAAGAACAAAACATGATTTAACAAAAAAAAAAAATTCTTAATTATAAATATGATGGGTCCAGGGTAATTCCACTTTTCTACTCTCAGTTATTTTCCTTTCAGCTTTATTGTGTATTCACCGTAGATGAAAAAATGAAAATCCTTGTTTAAAGATGTTTGTTTCTCACATCTGAAAGAAAGCTAATCACTATGCGTATGCGGGTAAGATTTGGCTCTTGTTTTACCTTCAAACTTGGGTATTCTTTAACGGTCATATTATAGCCTCTGGAGTTGGTTGACGCAGCCATACTTGTTTTGATTCCACCTCTTCTTCCTGAGAGTTTTGCATTTTCAATAAAAAGAAAAAGAAAAAGAAAATCAACTATCTAACCAAAACTCCCTCCATTCTTTTGAAAAACAATGAAGATAAAATTAGACATTCTGCGTGTATATATATATATATAATATATATATATATATCTTCTAATAAATTGCAAAGGGAGATGTAACATGTTAGTCCATGTGGGTTTCGCGTACAAAATGTTAGGTCTCTTAGGCTCCACGATGTTTTTGTGTCCTACGATCCTTTTTGATTTTCCTATCAATTTTGGTCCATTCAAACATATATAATGTAACAAACTAAGAATTTTAAGTTTTTTTTAAAGAATTTTCAATTCTAATTTTCTTAATAAATTAATGATGCGAAAAGCAGCCTTATGCAGCGATGCAACTATTTATATTTTATAGCATATTATATACTTATAGTTTGAATAGTTGGAATTTTGTAGTTTGGTTTACGCCGCGGAATCAACGTCGTAGTTTAAGCTTACGATTTTCCCAAAATGCGTAATAATAATAAACAGCATGCTATAATAGTGACTTCAACGAGTCATCTATACGTCTCGACTTTCTTATAAGTAGAAATACTGATGTATAATGTTATAACTAAAAAAGGTTATATTATGCCCCGACAGAATACTTAATGATGTTTAAGCACACTTCACCTACCTATAGCTTTTACTCACGAACCGATTGGTCAATTTACCAATTAATACTCCCTCTGTTTCATTATAGTTGATTTTCTAGGTTTTTTTTCTTGTTTTATAATATTTGATTTCCTACATCTAATAAATGCATGTCTCTTCTTTAAACTGAATGAATAATATTAATGCAGGTTGCTTTACTCCATTAACGCATAGTTAAAAAAGAAAAAATAATAATATAAATAATGAAATCAGTTATAAAAGTAACTTAATTAATAAAAATAAACAGTAAATAATTGAGCATTTATAGTTTTTTTAATCTGTGTGTAAATATTCAGAAAATCAACTATAATGAAACAGAGGGAGTAATTGTTATAACTCCTACACCGACTTCCTTTTGCAAACGTTAATAAGATATGAGTAACCTCTAATTAAAGTTCTAATACCGAGAATAACTATCTTTGCAACTTGCAAGTGCACAATGAAGTATCACGGTAGCAATATAGATGTTAAATCCACACATTACAAAATTGTACACATTTGAGAAA